ACGATACAGTAAGTTAGTCGATGTCGAGGATGACTAGTCGCCAGCCGCTAGTCGGTACTGCCGGGGAGGACTTGTGTTGACCAAGGTACACGTGACACATCATGCCACATATCAGTGTTATATTTAAACAATCGTCGTAATTACTATAAAATATCTTCTGCGTGTGAACACAACCCGATCGTTTGAATCTGTAAACGTGACATTCACAAGATTTGCGCTGAGAACAATGTCTAGTCATGTGCGGAAGACTTTTTATAACGCTTAATATCATCCAAGTAGAGCTTTGGCGCACAAAAACCTACCTAATATGAATAGTGTATAAGAACTATTATTAACTGATCATACCGTTTTGAGATAATAATCGTGTATAACACTTTTTTGTAGATTTTGCATTTAAGCCCATGTATTGTGTACGAGTATTTATATAACGTGAGTGTGTTCTAAGCTCTTCGACTTGTTTCTCCTACTTCCCATTTACTTGAAACTTTCATTCTTCTTCTACTTCATCTGTGACCTTCATAAAATTTTGCTTCTATTATTAATTGTTTATGAAGTAAAATTACGGATTTATGATGATTTTTATATATTTGCTTATTAAGTATTACTATTTAATATGGAAAGTTAGAAGGAAAAATAAACAGAATCAGGATATGAAGGTTCTTAAACCATGGATATCGATTCAATTTACTTCCGTTATCTTTAATAAATATTTCTATATTAAATAGCAACACACAAATCTATGTATAACATAATATAGTACATCTATTGTTAAGTTTTAATTTCACAAATATATTTCTATCCTTGGCTACTTCTTGTTCCTTCAAGACAATATCTTATAAAAATGTTATTTATATAATATCCTATGTAATGAAGTATCATGGCATCTGTTCTTTCTGTCTCTTGGTATCTGTCAATAGTGTATCGAACCAGTGTATTTGTAACCGTACTTATATCATTACAATACGATATTGGTGTGAAACATGATAGTTAAGGAATCGTGTTAGACAATACAATATTTGATATTTAATAAAATTTGATTGTGTTTTTATATATTTGTGTTTTATTTTGTAAATTTTCTCATCAAATGTCATTATAGACAGACATTTTTAATACCTTGACCTTAACCGTATACTTTCCTGGGTAGGTATTTAGATTCTACAGATGTGGCCCAGTAGGGCTGATTCCCGATATGGAGCCGCGAAATGCCTATCAGGTTGCCGGGACTCCGGCTCGAAGACCAGGAGTAGGAATGGGGTTTTTAGTCAATAAGAGTCTGACACTTTCACTCGCTTAACCCAAGGCGGGAGAAGTCATTGGGATAATTTTCCCCACTCAAAACAGGGTATTTCGATTCTATATTCAAAATGACTAATCATTACGATATCAGACTCATAAAGTCAAAATGCTGCTGAATAATATTATAGCTCCCAAATGACTTCTAAATCTGCTGGGCTACAAAAAAAATCAAATATTATGTTCTATATTATGATGTTCCAGAGAATGCATCCAGGGTTAATAAGGACACAATAGATAACTTGTAAAATCTAAAAAAACAGCAAAAGGATTAGGTAAACAAAAATAAAAAAATTGCGAAAATAATTTTATTTTCCATAAATATCTGCCGACCATCGTCAGTCATTTCATAGCTACATTCAAACTAGTTAAAGCTTTCGGTTCATACTTGAGTTCTGCCAGACCTCTGTGCACGATGTCATTGACCCTGGTCGCTCGGAGGTCTTTCCTGCATTTAGCCACGTCCTTCTCCGCTGCTGTCAAGTTCTCCAAATTGTTCAGCAGAACCTAATTCGGAGAAATCAGAATCAATAGAACAAACAAACAAACAAACTATTATTTAAAAACGTCCAGACGTAAGTACCAGTACTTAATTCATCAATCCGTGGCCATAGACCGAAAGCTCATCAAATTTATCTCATAAAAAATAATATTTCACATAATTTTCAAAGGTGAATTTGTGGACCTTTTGTTACAAAGTAAGTTCTAATGACTCTAGAAAAGAGTGAGGACCCTACTTCATAGTAGGGGTAGTACTTAACGAAGGGTAGTTACTACAGTAGTACGTTTTTCTGCCTAGACTGGAAGACTAATAAAAATAAAAGAAAGGCTGAAATAATTGAAACATTTTTCATTTTCATAAATTACTACTAAAACAGAAATACAGTTTTAATATGAAAACATACAAGAAGTCATTATATAAAATATATACCAAGTATACTAATACACAGAGTAATACGCTGATTTTTCAAACTCTTTTGCTTTCTTTGTTACATTTACCATAGTGGGCGAGTTGTACGTGAAGACATCAGAACAATAGTAGTCCTTCATACATGGCATGTCTACGCAGAATGGCGCATTGCTGGCACTGCAACCATCTCCAACCCCCGTTAAACTCCCTACTACGTCTTCAAATAATTTCGGTTGAAAATTACCCAGACATACAAAGTTGGGACTAATTTGCGCCATCCTGGTGCAAAGAGAATTATGATCACAGTAAAATAAACATAGATTGCAATATTCTGCCAAGGCACGGAATATCTTCCAGTCTACCCTCGCTTTCCCCGGAGGAGTGACGGCAGGATACGCGTACTGAGATCTGCCCTCCATGTTCAGGTAAACACCGCCAGACTCTGTCCAAGCACATCCTGGTAAGATCAAGTTTGCAAACTCTGCGCCCTTGTCACCTTGGTAACCAACGTAAATAATTTTGCAAGATGATGGCGGGTTCCAATCGTAAAATATGCCGTCGGCTCCCACAGAGACCACTACTTTAGGACACTTTTTCTCCAATGCACAGCGTGCCCCAAGCTTCCATCCCGCCTCCAAAGCACCACCAAAGCTCGCTTCCCTTGTGATGATGTTCAGAACACCATAATCTTTAACATCCAAACTTTTTGCGACTTCGTGTAAAGTTCTCATTATCTGAAAACCGTCAGGAGTCTGTAATTGCGTTACCCCCACAAAAATAACCGGTTTACTAGCACCTGCCAAACACGTCGCAGCCTTACTTAAACTCTGAATACTATCTCCTAAGTAAGACACGTGGTAGTTGTAATCACACGGCGGGCCTACGACGTAGATGTCAGCTTCGTTATTTCTGAACGCTTGTCGGATCCACATGTTCAAAATTGGTGCTTCAAATCGAGGATTAGTGCCAACTAACAAAATTTTATCAGCAGTAGCTACGTCTTTCATGTTAATATTCCCACAATATGCAGCTCTAAGGTCACTTCCACACGCTGAATGATACATGTCTCGCTCTATATACAGATTTTCACACCCTAGCACGTTGAGCATATCTTTGCTAGCTACTAAAGTCTCGGCGCTAGCGTGTGGACCCGCTATAGCCATTATGGAGTCAGGAGGAACTGATCTAAGTATTTCACTAGCCATTTTCAAGGCAGGGTCCCATTCAAGGGGGCAACAACACGTACCGACTTTCTTCATAGGTGTCACCAACCTTTGCATTTCGAGGGAATCAATTGCCCAGCGACCTTTGTCTGACACGTATTCCTGATTGATTTCTTCATGTTCACGCGGCAAAACACGAAGTACTCTATCAAATCTATAATTTAATACTATATTTGTACCTGTAGCATCGGTCAAATCAATCGAATTTGCTGTCTTGAGTTCCCAAGATCGCGCTTTAAAACGGTAAGGAACATTAGTCAACGCTCCGACAGGACATAAATCTACAATGTTACCGGAGAGCTCTGACAGAAACATTTTGTCTACAAAGGTGCCGACGAGCATGTCGTGGCCGCGGCCTGTCGAACCCAGGACGTCCAAGCCGCACACTTGAGAAGCGAACCGAATACATCTCGTGCAATGAATGCAACGATTCATTTCTGCTCGAATTAGAGGACTCAAATTTTTATTTTCCACTGCTCTTTTCCCGAGGAAGTGTATGTCAGTAAACCGAGAACGATCATTGCCAAATCTCACGGACAAGTCCTGAAGGTCACACTCGCCTCCCTGGTCACATATGGGACAATCCAACGGATGGTCGGCGAGAATAAATTCTAGGACGGCTTCTTGTGCTTTTGCAACCTTCTCGGAGTTGGTGCGGATCTTCATGTCTTTAACTACACCCACAGCGCACGCAACCTGCAGCTTCCACCACCCCTCGATTTCAACCAGGCACATACGGCAGTTGCCTGCTATTGAAAGACGCTCGTGGAAACAAAAACCCGGTATAGTGACCCTTTCCCTTTTCAAAGCTTGTCCGATCGTGAAATATGAAGGCACATTTACTGACTTGCCATTAATAAATATCGGTGTATCAGAGCCCTTTCTAACACAGATTCTGTTTATGTTGTGACATTTCAGAAAATTTTTGGCGCCTTTAAACATTTTGTTCTATAAATACGTTTTCTATGTATCTATACACAATAAATAATATGCTAGTAATAATAAATTCATTTATGTGTAACTGACATATGACAATGTCACGAACTCTATTCGTATTTTTGTTTTTATATCTAAACTATTTCCAACCCAGGAAATAGTTTGGATTGAAAACCATAGTTTGAACCACATTGTTGGTTAACTACTTATCTAGAGGTAATTAGAGTAATTATTAATTATTTAGAGTACAATTTTGATCATCAACCAATCATCAACTTGTTATCTACCCTTTTTTTTAACGTCAACTATGTATGAACCAAGTGTCAACTATCAACATTATTGTTGAATTGGTAAAACATTGATTAAATATACATGCAGTGTAGGTACCTGATGTATTGAGTCAATCAACAGCACGAGTGCTTCTTTGAATTGGAAAAATGTTTCAGTGGCTCTCTGGTATCTGAAAATTAAAAATACCGCCATTTTACTTTATGTATGTACCTAAAATAAAGCTCTGTCTATCTCAATAGGAGACATGTGTGACGATATACATACATGTATAATTGTAATAATTTGTAAAAAAAAACAGTTTTCTATAGGAGCAGGAAATGGAAGGTTTTATAAAGAACATAAGCAAGTTACTTGTGGTCATGTACAGCATCAGTGAATGCGTAGTCAAGCGCGAGGCGCAGTGCGCGTGCGGCGCGCGGCGCGGCGGGCGCGGCCAGCACACGGCGCGCGCCTCGCTCCGCGCACCGCGCCGCCACCAGCTGCGCGCACGCATCCGCCACTGCTGTCGACCTCTCCCATCCACTCCTACGACTCACAAACATTTTATCTAAACATCTCATTTATTTAATACTAAATAAACTCACTGACCAAAATACAGGAGAAAATTTTTATGTAATGTCCGAAATAATTTTTTTTCGATCACACAAAAAAATATTCCTTGTGAAAAGTAAAAACCCAGTACGTGGCACGGTCTTGTAGCATTCAATGATCGAAATTCAAAAAATTTATTTAATATCAATAGAGAACTCACTTGCCGACGGTAGTAAGCTTCCATGCAGGCATGGCGTCGTCTAACAGTCTGACCGCCGCGTGCGCATACTCCGCGGCCGCGCGCAGTCTCGCTGACACTGCAGCTAATGCATCTCGCAACCCTATTGCTTTCGTCAGTGCATTCTCTTGTGAACTGCCTGGACGAGTATTATTGCCCCAAATTGAGTCTAAATTGCAGAATAAAATGGTGTAACTGAATCCAAACGCTTTAAATTACATTTTCATTGATCTATGTTATCATTCAACATCTTGTCTATAAGTATAAAAATTACTCAAAATAATTTCTATCTAGATAATTACATATTCTGTAACAGCTATGAAACTGCACGACATTGACTACGCTTTGGATGTGATCGTACCATCCACCGTAGCGTAGCGCATAGTATGAAGTCTTCGAATTCGTAGCTTCGTAGCATAGATACATAGAACGTACTACGCCGTAGTAACGACAATATGACTTTTACTATCACAATTAAAAATAATTCTACATAAAGTTCGTTACAACAGTTTGATCTATCCTATCGCTAATACATAGACTTACCCAGTAAGTGCTGTAACTGTGCGTACAGTGATCTCGTGCGCAGGATCTGTGCGTGCAACACTCGGCGCTCACGCACCAACTCCGCATACCGAGTGCGCAACCAACTCAGTTCTAGACGACGCATCTCCTAAAACACAGGTTTCAATCATCATTTTATGAAACAAGCTTACATAATTTCCGCTGTTTTCAGCTGAAATGTGTGAAATAAGTGAGAAATTAATACTGGGAATTAATTTGTAATGAAGACAAGAAGATGATGACAAAAATAACGAGGTCTTTACCTTCCTATTGACGTTAGCAACGAAGTCCTCGTTTTCTGATGCCAACATCGGTCGTCTGTATAGGTCTAAACTTACAAACAACTGCAAGAAAACATTCACATAAGTTAGTTAATCAAAATTCGAATAGAACCAACGACGAGCACACAACTCACCTGGTGCATAGTCTTAGCATAAGTGTCTTTAGTAACTGTTGCTGTGCACTCTTCGAAAGACTTGATTTCCTAAAACAATAAGTAGACGAATATCCTAAAGGGTTTTGTGTGACTTACAAAAAAGAAAGCAATCTCCTCTATAACTGCATTGAGAAACGAACAACTATTACAGCAATAGCATTTTTTAATCAATAATGGAATGAGATGAATTTACAAATATCTTCGCTCATCTAGCTAAAACCGCTGAACTGGCTGAACCGATTTGGCTAATTTTGGTCTTGAAATGTTCCTTGAAGTCCAGGGAAGGTTTGAACGATAGGAAAAATAATTTTCACGGCACGAAGTTTGCCGGGTCAGCTAGTAAACAATACAAATCTCTGCTCCAAATACCTACTGATACATTGCTGTGCTGAAGTTCATGTCAACTTATTGTCTTTTTTTCTTTTTTTTCTTTATGAACTGTAGTACATCATATCGTTCTTTTCTACTATTGTATTCAAGTTTTTAAGATTATTTTTGCATTACTTGATCTCCAGTAACTGGAGAAGCTCAAGATTTCTGTTTTTTGCATTATACTGCTTATGTTACGTGTATTCTCTGTTGGAGATCATTTTAATAAGTAACTAAATAATTCATTACGCTTAACTTATTAACCAAATCACCTGCTAAACTTAGATATTATGGGCCACCCTCTTATATAGAGGGGGTCTACAGTCTAGAAGTTGAACTGTTAAAGGCTGATTGATGTACCCAAATACCTGAACCTGGTTGTTACTTAGCTTCTATTTAGGCAGTAACAGTGTACGGTTCCACTTACCAGCTGTATGCTCTCCAGCTCAGCTGCTACCACAGCGAGCCTGGCTGCTGGCTGATTCTTCTCACTCCTCGCTATCTCATCATCAATCCGCGTCAGCGCCGCCAGCACGGTCTCGTTCTTATTCAACTTCAAGGACGATTTCTTACTCAACTTCATCGGTTCAGAATACTATACGGAAGATAGAAAAGTGAGTTGGTACTTTGTTAATAAGATTTTTTTAATGGGACAAGCCCGCCACAACCTCCCAAAACCGCTGCAACTCCTGTAAGCCAGGATCTACAGTACCTCTAGATACAACCATGAAAACATAGGAACAATGAAGTCCGGCGCGTCCCAGGGACATGAGTAACTGTTTTGGTTCCCACAACGAAGTGGATCAGAAGATATTATAAGAGGAGAAGAAGAAAAACTATGGTCTCCACTTCCCTCGGTGAATTACTGCAGGAGACAGAATGAATTAAGCCTAAAGGCACAAAGAAGAGACTGTACAGTTGTTAATAAGATTATTAAGCGATTTGGACGTTGTGAGAAGTGGAATTATTAAGCCAAATTTTAATAAACTAGCTTCTGACAGCGGCTTCGCCTGCATTCCCGTGGGATTAAAAGTAGCCTATGTGGTTTTCCAAATCATAATCTACCTCTGTTCCAAATTTCATCTAAATCCGATCAGTAGTTTTTGCGTGAAAGAGTAACAAACACACAAACACACACACATACACACACACACACACACACACTCACACACACACACACACACACACACACACACACACACACACACACACACACACACACACACACACACACACACACACACACACACACACACACACACACACACACACACACACACACACACACACACACACACACACACACACACACACACACACACACACACACACACACACACACACACACACACACACACACACACACACACACACACACACACACACACACACACACACACACACACACACACACACACACACACACACACACACACACACACACACACACACACACACACACACACACACACACACACACACACACACACACACACACACACACACACACACACACACACACACACACACACACACACACACACACACACACACACACACACACACACACACACACACACACACACACACACACACACACACACACACACACACACACACACACACACACACACACACACACACACACACACACACACACACACACACACACACACACACACACACACACACACACACACACACACACACACACACACACACACACACACACACACACACACACACACACACACACACACACACACACACACACACACACACACACACACACACACACACACACACACACACACACACACACACACACACACACACACACACACACACACACACACACACACACACACACACACACACACACACACACACACACACACACACACACACACACACACACACACACACACACACACACACACACACATCCTCACAAGCTTTCGCATAATATTAGTAGGACGTTAAGATTATAGCAAATCCTCCTATATTGCTTATGATCCAGCTATGGACGCTCACGGGCTGTTGATGTTACTGTTGGTATCAAACTTTTCAAGTATATTGGAAATTTTCAGTTTTAGAGGTGCTACAAAAATTTTACAAAAACCAAACTTCCTACTAAGTACGTATATAAGCACTTATTCTCTTGCACAACCACAACCTCGCGTAATTATAATTAATTTGATTGGTTATGTATAATTAGATATTTATCTCAAATCTTCGATTCAAAAAGATTACAAAGTCTATTCAAACCTGCAACTTGTGCAACAAACAACTAAATAAAAAATTAGAATAGTAAAAGTGAACTCACAGTTGCGACGCTGATTTTCTGTGAACTTGCCATGCACCCCATGCCCACCACGTTTCCATCACTAAACAAACTTAGCAACGTTAGTAAGGGTCCTAAATACCAAGTGGAATAATGGAGGTAAGCCGGCCAAGGTTACTACGAAGAGGGTAACATTCTTCAGGCTTTGAAAGGGATCGTTTCGTATACAATGGAACGGCGCGTGCCACCGAACATGACAGGACCATTTTATACTAATTACCAAGATGTATGTTAAATAAGGAGGTGGTAAATGGTAAGGTAAAGTGCGGGTCATAAACGACAAGGTAAAAAACTAAAGGTAAAAAACACATCCAAGCAAACACATTCGGCGCTTCTAACCACAAAATCAAGGACACCAATAGTAAAAGTTAAGAAGGTAGGTAATATGAGATTTGGGAATGACATAAAATTACGACCAGTCACCAAATTTTCAATGTCTTCAGTGATCCCCAAACCGCCTAGTTACCAAGTTTAGAACCCTTTCATAATGTACTATTTTGTTTAACATTAGATGTGTGCCGGTTGTTGATAGTCTTCTACGTATAACATAAAATTAAATACATATAATATAAAATTGAATCGCTAATATGTTGCTAAGCAAAAATCTCCGCGAGATGATCTCCGACCCGACCGTAAGCACAGGCCTGTGGACGGCGAGCACGGGTAACTCGCCGGCCGACCAGAACCAGACCCGAACGTACGGTGCGTCGCCATCAGACTACAACAGATAGGGTTCAATAGAGCTGATGCTGAAACGGAGCAACGGCGGACTTAATGCATTTTTTTTGTTTTTTTTTTTAATGTGGGAAAATCATCGAATGACTGCTCCCGTCTGGGTGAGGCGGGAGGGAGTGTCAGACTCTTACTGACTAAAAAGCACCCCGTTCCTTCTCCTGCACGTCGAGTCGGAGCCCCGGTTACCCGTTAGGTTCTCCGCGACTCCGAATCGGCATCGGCCCGGACTTAATGCATTACCGGGGGCTCCGGCTCAAAGTGCAAGAGTAGGAACTAGGTAGTTTTTATTCAGTAAGATTCTGGCACTCCCTCCCGCCTCACCTGGGCGGGAAAAGTCAATGGAGGACTTTCGCCCCTTAAAAAAAAAGGCGCATATCTCGAGAATAGCTGAACCGATTTCGCTTATTCTATTTTTGTACGGTTTGTTATTGTTAGGCGAAAATATTTATCTAAGAAAAAAAATTCTAAGGCGAAACTAAATTCGCCCGCTTGTAAAGTTATGAGCTGTATAAAATTGACATATCTGTTGCAGATTCGAACATCAATGTAACATACATATCTAATAGTACCTACACTTAATTAGTCACGATACGATCACCGTGTCATACTCATGTTACTACATGACATGATAATGCATAATTCGCGAGGTACATGGATACCTACTTGACTATTTTACTCATTATTTTGCTATAGGAACGCAATGCAGTGACTAAGCCAAGCGTATGTAGGTAACTATTTGTACGCTCGCCGATTCATAGTTCACCTTCGAGATTTTATTTTCTATAGATAGGTTTGTTCTTTCAAGGTCTCAGGTGAACAAACATTACCTTGCATATTCATAAACTAAAAGTTTAAATAGCGTTCTTATTACAAACTTTGTGTTTATTCATATGTGACTTCAGGTGTGGTTTTTGTTCCTGTGCCTAGGGTGACGGTAGATACTTACTTTTTACGCGTTAGAACTTCGATCTACAACACATTGAAAGTTTCGTATTTTAAATACCAATTTACAGGAATCGAACCTTCGCCCCTAACTGTGCCTAAAGCAGCAGCAGAAGAACGAATTACATAAATATTACACAAAGCTATGACACACAGACAGTGTCGAAATGGTGTCGAACGAAAGATAAATTTAAATATTCCCGCTTTTAAAATCGATTAATAACAGTATAAAGCCCTTTCAGACACCTCCTTATTTAGGTACTTATAGAGTTCATTCTGTAAGTTGAGAATATCATTAATGCTCAAAACGTTAATGCTTAAATTTTTTCTACCCTTATATTTCAAATATTTTAGAAATAAAAATAAAAATCACAAAAAATTTTTTTTTTTCATTTTTAGTAAATTAAATCGACTAAATCTGGAAAGTTGCACTACAAAAACCTATCTACTGTACTGTCAACGTCGACCCAACCTCCCCCTCCACCCTTCTTCCGAATCCGAATCATCCTTGTCATATCGCTAAAGTTATTGCTTATTTTACGAATTATTAAATTATTTTAGTTTATTTTTTGTTACTTTATAGTTAATTTTAACAAAAACGTATCGATAGACAAAACAAACTAGTGGTAAGTCAACAATATCTTCTAATAATTTAGAAAGTGGCACATGTCGGTTGTTCTCGGATTTGATAACAAATTACCCGTTTTATTCATTTCAGGTAGAGTTACACGAATAACTCTCGACCTCAGGCTTCGGCCTGCGGTCTTAACAACACCGTAACCACAAAAAAAAAGACGCATAATCCGCAAAATTCTCTGCCATACTTCCTCCAATATAACGCAACTATTTCATAATATTATATTTAGTTATACCGTAAACATGTCTCAGTGGAACAATACTTACGCTTACAACAACCAATACCAGGCCTGGAATGGTGATCCCAATGTCCAATATGTGAACCAAGGCTACTACCCAAACAGAGCGGACCAACCTAATCAATATGTGAGCTTTAATGAATTTCTTTCTCAAATGCAAAACAATGCAGCGCCCAGTACTAGCAACTATAGCAATGTTCAATATGAAAACTACCCTCCAGGGCAGTACAATTACCAGAACATACCTACTACTGCCCCCCAGAATCCTCAGTTAGAAAATTATGGTTATGCAGCTCAAACCTCTAATGTCCCCAGTGGCTCAGAATCTTACCCCATGAATATGCAAAGCCAATATGCTCCAGCGGCAAACAATCCTAATGTGTATACTAATGCTATGATATTGAAATCTAATCTCACTCCAACAGCCACTGAGTTTGTGCCAAAAAGTTCTATGATGAAACCTTCAGTTAGCAGTCAGAACATTCCTGAATCTAGTACTGTACGTGATGATAATGAATCTAGAAATAATTATAGCAATGTAAATGAAACTAGGAATCAATTCAATAACTCTAATGGGTCTAGAAATACTTACCCCAGTACAAGTGAACCCCGAAGTGTTGGTGGTAGTTCATCAGACACAAACTGGAGAGAAAGGCCACAGAGTACACAGCAGGTTAATGAACCAAGCCACAAAACTGAATCTTACCAACGCACTCAAGAACCCTCAAGAAATCAAGAATCCACTAGCCGTCATCGAGATAATAACTATCGCAACAATGAATCTAATGCAAGGCACCATGATACTAGCAGTCGTAATCAAGAAGGTAACAGCCGTAGCCATGAAGCTAACAGTCGGAACCAAGAAGGTAACGGTCGAAACCAAGAAGGTAACGGCCGCAATCATGAGGTAGAATCCAGGCAATATGAATCTAGTAACCGGCAGCAGGATTCCAATAGCCGGACCTATGAGGCCACCAACCGCAACTATGAGAATACAAGCAACAAAAGAGGCCAAACAAAATCAAATTATAAATCAAAGTCTAAAGATGATGCCCGCACATTCTACAACAGTTCTATTAGTAAAGACAGCCAAGATGTGAGGAATGGAAGAGGGGAATCTTCTGGGCGGGGTAAGAATTGGGTGGGCACTCCTCGTCTACGGGCCATGGAACGCAACAGCACAGAAGATGAGCAATATGCCAATACATACTTACAAGGCAGGGAGGATAGAGTGGAAAGAGACAACAGAGATAGGGATCATTCAAATAGAGAACGAGATGTTCGAGAACCGAATAGAGATGTACGAGATAAAGATAGAGGAGATGTGCGAGTAAGGGATAGAGATAGAGAACGCAATGTACGCGAAAGGGACAGAGATAGGGGGGAGCGTGATGTAGCAGATAAAGATAAGGAACGGGATATTCGCGATCGTGATAGAGAACACAGAGAGCTGGAGAGAGAACATAGACACAGGGAAAGAGAGAACAGAGAAAAAGAGAGAGAACATAGAGAAAAAGAAAGAGATAACAGAGAGAGGGAAAGAGCTATAAAATCTGAACATATTCCCAGTCCTGCTCGGTCTAAGGCACGATTTTTTTATGACCAAGGTTTGTACATTCCTTTGACTTTTGTATACAAAGTCTATCAATAATTAATATATAATTAAATTTGTGCTTTACTGTTTAGCTAATAAGGAGATGACCCAACGTGAGCGCCTCACTGAACAGTTGGATAAAGGAACGTTGGAATGTCTAGTCTGCTGTGAACGAGTGAAACAATATGATCCGGTCTGGTCGTGCAGCAACTGTTACCATGTCCTACATCTTAGGTGCATTCGGAAATGGGCTATGAGCAGCATGGTTGGTGAGTGAGAATATAGAATTTTTAAATATTCTATATTTTGTTGGAACTTCTTATTAGAAATCAAATTGGCCCGAACACCTATTGAAAGGATATTTATGCAATTTTTTCTTAGCGAATAAATACATTCTTATTTGAATTTTGAAGTCATGATAAACAATTCACTAAATTGCATTTTGTTAAACTGGATTTTTTAGCAAAAGTTCTATTTTGTGACTTTTTATACTGCGTGAATGTAATTTAAATATTGTCTGTTTTAGAGAGTAAATGGCGCTGCCCAGCGTGCCAGAACACAAACGAGACTATACCGACAGACTACCGATGTATGTGCGGCGCGGTCCGTACTCCCGAGTTCCAGCGCGGCGCCGTGGTCGCCCACACGTGCGGGCGCTCCTGTCGCCGCCCGCGCTCCTGCCCCCACCCCTGCACCTTGCTCTGTCATCCGGGACCATGTCCACCTTGCCAGGCTACTGTTATGAAGTATGTATCTAATGTCTACAGTTATCTTATGACCGTACAATACCCAGTTACTTGTTCAATGTATAAAATATTCTATTAAACCCCAAACCCCTTTTTACTAATCATACTAGGTATAATAAGATACAAAAGAAAAAGTGCTTTAATTAAAATGTATCCTAATGTTATATTTTACAATGTGACATATTACGCAATGTATAAAATCAATCGATCAATATTATTACACAATAGAATATTGCTCAACATTGTAAGTTCAGGTCACTTTGATATCGTCATACAAAAACATTATGACTCATTCATTTGGGCAAACCCAAATTCACAATAACTGTCCTATAATCCTATTTTGTTTAAGCTTGTCCTTATACCTGGTTACTGAGATCGACACAATGTCCTCTTTCTAGTGCTACTAGACTGCTCGACACAATGGAGGATAATGTTTCCATTATCCCTTTATCAGACGTCATCCTTTGTTTTCTTTTGTATCATTCTTCACGAAATCATACTAACATACCCATCTTTTTCTTATTCATCCACATAATATAGATTCTGCACATACTTACGTCATTGTCCTATGAGGTAGACAGAAACTACTTACTTTAGCTTTCATCACATTCAGCACACCTGTAATGTGACCTGTACCTGCCCAGAATATCCTTACTTATAAAAAAACTACGAATGTCAGAACACAGTGAATTTACAAATATTTTTTCTCAGGTCTTGTGGTTGTGGAGCGGAGAATCGCTCAGTGCTATGCAGCAGTAAGTTGCCACAAGTGTGTGGTCGCGTCTGTGGACGAACTTTGGAGTGCGGCGTGCATAAGTGTACCCAGAGCTGTCATGATGGACCTTGCGAAACTTGTACTGAGATGGTTGAACAAGGTATACTGTTTTTTTCTCACTAATATTATAAAGAAGCTTGTCTCATGCAGTTTTACACGCTGTATTTTATAGCCTATATGACAAAAAAGTTTTTACTTTATTACGGTCCGTTATTTCTAAGCTTCTATACCTGGTCTAGGCACTTCATATTAACAGGAAATTTTTACTTGCGTTTACAAGTGGATATCTCATATTTAAAGCTGATAATAAATTTTATTTATCAATTTCTATACATTTCAGTCCAGAAACCCAGTGACTGACCAAACTAAAGTATCCAATCTATTACAGTATGCTACTGTCCGGCTGCGAAGGCCCGCTCCGTGGCGTGCACGGCGGAGTGCGGCGGCGCCGTGCTGTGGTCGTGCGGGGAGGCGTGCGGGCGGGTGCTGGCGTGCGGGGCGCACGTGTGTCGCGCGCCGTGCCACGCCCCGCCCTGCCAGCCCTGCGCGCTACTGCCGCAGTATGTCACCACCTGCCCCTGCGGGAATACCAAGTAAGTTCATAACTTTAAGTGAATAATTATGTTCTCCAACTTGCTCGTGGTGACACGTCTGATTCCAAGTCGTACTAAAAACCCAAGGTTACAAAACAGCATTGAGCGACAAACGATGTGATCAGCGTCGTGCAACCAACTGAACCAGAGCTTTCTATACATAAAAAATGTTAACTAAGTTATGGCTTTAACTAAGTTCTTTAAACTACTTCTAATGTCCTTGTTTAGGTTAGCTAAAGATTCTCGCAAGAGCTGCACGGAACCGATCCCGCTGTGTGGCAACATTTGTGCGAAACCACTATCGTGTGGCCCGGCTGGGGACAAACACTTCTGCAAGATCAATTGCCATGAAGGTAAGTCGTCATCAATTAGATCATTTGTCTCTTTTGATTCTAAATAATACTTTATTTAATCCAGACGCATTGCCCAATACTACGAATTTTATAGATAACATCTAAGATATAAGATATTACAGAATTACTCACTACCTTTGCGCAATCATTGCTAAAAATCAAACTGTTTTATGAAATACGGACTAATTAGAAAAGACTACATGGTTGGTAGATTGATAGATACAGGCACATGGGTCAATCGAAAGTGCTATAGGGATTTTTCAGTGTTTTGTAAATTCTCGTGGCAGCATGGAATCTGGAACAGTGTCCGATATATGGCGATAAGGTCATTCCTTGTTTCAAAGAACAACTAACTCATAAGTACCATAGCTAGCGAAAGTGTATGTTACATTTTCGTGCATTTTTGCTCCCAAAGGGTCCTCTTTATAACAACGTGCAATAATGTTATGTTCTTATGTTCCACAGGTCCGTGTCCCGAGTGCCCGGACAAGACAGTGTTACAGTGTCGCTGCGGACACTCCAGTCGCGAGGTGCCGTGTGTGGACCTGCCACAGATGTACAACAATGTGTTCTGCCAGAAGAAATGCAATAAGGTATGTTCCATCGCTTCTATATTACTTTGATCCATTTTATCACTTGCATTACATGTGTAACTAAGGTAATGTAGTGTTTATCCTGGAAAATGTGATTACTTATATTTTGGTCAATAATAATTATGTCTGCAAAACTCACAATTTCTGCCATCTTAGCATGCATTTCATGCATCGACGAAAGACCAAAAACCGACGACTGAATTTAATTATTTATTTATGTCGCCGTGTGAAGCGTTATCTATACAGTAAAGTGTACACAGAAATTGTCGTGTGGCCGACACCGCTGCCGCACGGTATGTTGCGCGGCGACGTCGCACCGCTGCGCCGTCGTCTGCGGCCGCACGCTGGCCTGCCAGGCGCATCGCTGCGAGGACTTCTGTCACACTGGTCACTGCGCGCCCTGCCCTAGACTCAGTACGTATCTTGTATAATATCTATATCTAGTTAAATTTAATTATATGATTCGTGCACAAACGTAAATTGTCGTTAATGCTATAGACGTCTTCATCATAAGGTATTTGACACTTTTTTGAAAAGTATGTTAAAATGTTTTTAACGCAGCCATTTTTATTATAGTATTTTTTTAAGAATTACTTTTAACAGCTACAGCTTCGTCACATACTGTTTGACGAGGAATTCGACTAGTTTCAATCCTCGCTAGGGACTCATATTCATAAGGAAGATTGCGTGACGTTCGCCGCATGGTGTGCACGGCCAAGTAGGTTACTAATCCAACGGTGACGTCGCAGTATTCGAGGAGCTGTCGTGCGCGTGCGGCGCGGAGGTGTTGTTCCCGCCGGTGCGGTGCGGCACGCGCGCGCCGGCCTGCGCCGCGCCGTGCGGCCGGCCGCGCGGCTGCCCGCACCCGCCGCACCACTCCTGCCACTCGGGGGACTGCCCGCCCTGCGTCGTGCTCACCACCAAGCGGTGCCACGGGAACCACGAGGTTAGCCATTCAAAGTAATCTTAAGTACAACAGTTTTATTAATTCCTTGGAACTATTATTAACAGTGACGATTATTCGACAGGAACGAAAAACAATACCGTGTTCCCAAGAAGAGTTCTCGTGCGGTCTACCCTGTGGAAAGCCCCTTCCTTGCGGCAAACACACTTGTATAAAGACTTGCCATAAAGGACCCTGTGATACTGGCAAGTGAGTATTCATCATATTTATTTAAATCTCATTATATGCGCTTCACTTGCAAAAAGGTAATATTATAATTATCAACATTATTTGCCAGTCGCAAAAGAATAAACAAAATATTTTTTTTTTGTTTTACGTCTTACATATCTGTTTTATGGCAACTCGACTGGTTTCAAGCTCACTCGGAGCTCATAGTCATGAGCAATATTGGGCCACAAATGACGCTGAAGCTAACAGTTATCATGCTGTATGCCAGTTAGCAGATAATAAGTGTGCCGAACCCACATAACGATGTTAAACATGTGTGTGTTGCGTAGATGCACCCAGCCGTGCACGGAGAAGCGTCCGTCGTGCGGCCACCCGTGCGCGGCGCCGTGCCACGCGGGCGGGGGCGACCCCACGCCGTGTCCCAGCGCCGCGCCCTGCCGCCGCCTCGTGCGCGCCACCTGTCCCTGCTCGCGGCGGCACGCCGAGCGGACCTGCGCCGACAACGCCCGGGATTATGCCAAGTTAGTACGATCATTGCTCAGTCTTACTTATGGTCATCAAAGTCAAAATGCTTTAAGAACTATTTTTGCAATCTAGGAGTTTTGGTGGAAGTCTATGTTCAGCTGTGAACGTCTTATGGATGATAATTATGATGATTTTTGAAGAACCGTTAATAACAAAATTTGTCTATCAAATGTATCTAGTGTTTTATCTTTCACAGAACAGTTTGTATAAATGTGTAATTTGTACTAACTTGATATTCTCTTTAACAGGATGATGAGCGCTCTAGCGGCTACCAAGATGGCCGAGGGAGGTACAGTTGACGTATCCGAAGTGCAGCGCCCTAGCAATATGCTCAAAACGTAAGAAAAAACCTTTTATACGTTCTGAAAATCGTATATCATTGTAGAAAACCTTCCAAAGTTATTCTTCCCCCCAAAATACATGTAACAACGTTGGTAATCTTGGTACTTTATTGTTCGAGTAATCGTATTACAGGGCTAAATTACAGAGTCTAGCAAAGTGTAGGCACTTGGAATCTTTATCTATACAGATAAATAAAATTGGAGTATCTGTTTGTAATATTAAAATACCGGTTTTTACTAATATTAAGTATGAAGTGGCAAATGTTTTTTTTTTATGGCATAAGCCGGTAAACGAGCAGACGGATCACTTGATGGTAAGCAATCGGCGTCGCTCATGGACACCTGGAACACCAGAGGCGTTACAAGTGCGTTATCGGCTTTATGGGGATTAGGGGTTTGAGGATCGATGGGGATTCAGGGATTGGGGAGATTGAGAAAGGGGAGGGTAATTAGGCCTCCGGTAACCTCACTCACACGACGAAACATAACGCAAACGTTGCTTCACGTCGGTTTTCTGTGAGGTCGTTGTATCACTCCGGTCGAGCCGGCCCATTCGTGCCGAAGCATGGCTCTCCCACACTTTTTTATTATGTTATTGAATATTTTTAGTTTGGAGTGCGACGACGAGTGCCGCGTAGAGGCGCGCACGCGTCAGTTGGCGCTGGCCCTTCAGATCCGCAACCCCGACGTGTCGGCCAAGCTGGCGCCGCGCTACAGCGACCACGTCCGCACCACCGCCGCTAGAGAACCTGCCTTCGCTAACCAAGTGCATGACAAACTTACCGAGCTCGTGCAATTAGCTAAAAAGGTACTCTATTGCTCTCTATTCTGTGTTATACTTTCCTTTTTCTACCCTAGTTGAAGGATGCTCATGATGTCTTATTCTGTGGAAGATTGTTATTAACCTCTGTGGCTATCCACATCGTCGGCGCAAGATTAGGATCGCTGACCTTGTTCAATACAGCTTCAATAACGCTAATAAAATGTTTTTATGCAAAGAATTCTGTGCGTGTCATAAACAAAAAATTTCGCACAAAATTTCGAACACGTTGCGTTGCAATACTGCAGTTTTTAACGACGACAACTTAATATTTTATTTACAGTCAAAACAAAAGACTCGTGCGCACTCGTTCCCGTCAATGAACAGACAGAAGCGTCAGTTTATACACGAGATGTGCGAGCACTTCGGTTGTGAGAGCGTGGCCTACGATGCTGAACCCAACAGGAACGTCGTGGCCACCGCTGATAAAGAAAAGGTAATCAAATTATTAGAAACTGAAAAATTACTTGAATGCAATAATTCTCAATGACATAACATCACGCCTTTTATCCCCGAAGGGGTAGTTAGGCAGAGGTGCCATTATACCAGTGTACAATGTAACACCCACTTTTTACTATTTATGTTATGAGTCCCATGTAATAGGGGGTGAGTCTGTTGCCATATAACGGACACAATTCCAGACTCCAGACGCAAGTCTCAATGACATACAAGTCAATATCGTCATTATCAGTTCGTACTCTTCATATCTAGCCACTGACCGCCACTGCAGTGTTCACTATGTTGGGCTGAACTATGTTTACCACGATCCATGGTCCACTTCACAACTCGTCTACCTCTAATAGTCATGACTTCTGCAAAAAGCTACTAAACTGATCTGAGCGAAGTTTAACGTCATATTCTGGAATAACTTTTTATCCCGATAACGCAGACGAAACCGCTAGCAGAAATTGGTAGACAACCTAAATATTAAGAACAATAATTTGAGTGTAAATTCTATGTTTTTATAGTCATGGCTACCAGCAATGAGCGTGATGGAGGTGCTAGCCCGCGAGGCAGGCAAGCGTCGTGTCCCGGGCCCCGTACTCCGCGCCCCGCCCGCCGCACTGGGCTCCTCGGGGCCCACCGCCGGCCCTTCACAGACGACTAACTCTGCTCCCAATAAGTACGTATATAATGCTTATTTTGATTTTAGTATTTTATTAATAGACTAGTCGTAAACACGATTGCTGACGTCTCTAGTCTCTTAATTCCCGAATTGGTCAAAGTAGTAAGGGGGCGTCCATAAATTACGTGAGATGTTTAAGGGGGGAGGGGGTAGACTCAAATCTCATCTAATCTTACGTTGGAGAGAGGGAGGCAAATATCACGTATTTTTTTCTGATAAAAACAAAAAATAAAAATACTATTTTAGTCCATTTAATCCAGATTGTACATGCTCCAGATTTAATTGTGTAGCATGCGTTTGTTTTATACGTGTAGTATTCCATTGTTACATTTTTATTACACTTGTCTTATAACTATCAGCAATATTGATTACTAGTCTTTACTAGTCGTAAACAAAAGTATGAAGCAAATGTTTTTGCTTTAACAATCCAAATTTTGAAAAATCTCACATGAGATTGGGGAATGGGGGAGGGTGTTGAATAAAATCTCACCAGGGGGAGAGAGGGAGAAAAAATTAAAAAAAACACCTCACGTAATGTGTTCGGTTTTTTTTTAATTTACAGTAATATCGAAGTTTGCATTTGTGCCCATCGCATAGCAATAGGTTCATTCACCATGGGACTAATGAACTTTTTACTTGACCACAGATCATCTAGCGGCTGGGCGACTTTAACTTCAACAAACGCTTGGGCTGCTCGCAGCCAGCCGAAGCAGCCAAGCCAGCCACAACCGCCGGCCGAAAAAATCGACTACTTCGACAACCCGCCCGACAACTAGTCGACTAGCTCAAATTGTAGCGTAGGTACGTACACTCAGTGCATTTTATACGCAACATTTACCTTAATTTTTGCTCTGGCAACCTTTAATTTTAGCCAGGTGCCATTTTGATTTAGCTGTGTATTATACAAGAGCGTTATGTAAGCTGTGGTCTTAATTTGAACATCGAATTGTATTGTTATAATTACCACACTTACCGTTAATGATATTGGAGGAAAAATCTATGTAATCCAAAGGGGGATTTAGAACTAACATTATCACTTATTACTTAGTAAAGCTAAAAGCATGTCAATTTTCATTGTATTTATGGCTTGGAACTCAAGTTATAGAATTATAATCTATAGTTATATTGCAATTGTCAGCTGATTTTTTTCCTTATTATAATCAGTTGTAATATCAAGCAAATTATTATAATTATTACATTACCAAGTTCCTGATATAGTGATCTCCCAGTTATTTATATATTTATGTACTAATGTAGTAGATTTAATCCACACAGCTTTTTTCTTCTTTTTTAATGCACTGAGTGTATATCGACAGACAATAGAGTCAATTTTATAAATGTTTACTATTCTTATTGTAATGTATTGTACACTAAATCAAAATATCAGATAGATTAATACATAGATTTTTATGGGGCTATTACCATATTGGGGTGGATGGAAAGCCAAGTGAATGGAGACAGTAAAGGGTTCATACCTATAAAAAGATGAATAGGGCATGTGTTCAAGAAAATACTCTTACTTATCCTTATTTAACTATTTAGAGACTTAATTGACCACATGTCATATTCATTCCATGTTATGGTTCCCTTTCAATGTATAGTTTCCATGTGTCCTCGAATTTCCATCCACCCCATTCTAACCAATAAATTTCATTCGGCGTCTTTATGAATTTACAGCGGAGGAAAGTCTGCTTTTCGCATAATTAAATTATAAATATATTAATGAATAATTCCAAATTGTATGTGCCTATACACAATAGTAAATGCCGTTGAATTACCGAATTATCGCCACAAGTCTTGAAAATATCAATGACTGGCAGTTTGTATTGTGTGTAGGAACTTAAAAAAAAAATTAGCACAAAATGTGAAGCACCTTATATTAAAAAGCTGGACCCCTTTACCCATCCTAATAAATAAGCAGCAACTTGAATTATTTATAGAACAAAAATAATATATCCTACAAAGCACCTCACCAAGTCCTGAAATGACACACAATTAAATATTATTTAAGTAAGGTATTTCAGATATTTACCTAAATGTTTAGAAATTAATAATCGTATAGATTCGTGTTATTATTGTTACCCGACTATAGTTGGTTGATTTTAGCCAATATTTACATAGTTACAGCATTAACCAAGCGTGGTATTTTTATTTTATTGAGACGACTGTGCGTTATACTTAAATAACCACGATTTAGATAGAATAATTCAGTTATTTGTTATAAGCCCTATGCGAGCCCCTGCAGGCTATAGTCGGGTTTTAGTTTTAATAAATGTCTATACATGGAGCTCCCAGTATATAATAATTGCGGATGATACAATATTTGTGGTCTAACCAAGAATTTGTATCAATCTCAATACACAGTCCATGCCTACTCCCAACTTAGTTGGGGTAAGCCGAATGATAGAAATAGAGCTTTATTCTTTGTTACTAAACTCCATTATCTCTGCCCATACTTTGGAAGAGATTTAATACGTCCGTTAAACGTATTTTTTTACTCTTATCCAGTACTGGGCGCACCATGCATCAATATTCCTTTGAATAAAACATATTCTGGTAATTGTGATAAAATAAAATACAAAAAAAAAACAGTATACTAGTTGAATGTTTAATTGTTTAATTACCTACCCTGAATGTTGTATATGCAAGCCTTAATAACGATGCACGTTTTTATAGCTATCAGTATATTAATAAGGCCTCTTTCATTGAACTGTTCAGAAACATTGCGTTCATATATTAATACATAAAGTATACTATTTATATGGCCAAATAGATGTTTATATATTTAGATATTTTTCATAAAGAGATACATCATTAAATGTTACCACGTACAATAGAATTTAAAACAATTTACTTGTTGTTGTTATACTTATTATGTTTCTGCCGTATATTTTTGTAATTATTTTGTTCTACTGGCCTAAGTCCGATTTCATTTGATTTGTTTGTTAAAGCTATAATGGCTGGCACCAAAACTGTCAACATTTTAGTGGTGGGCTTAAGTTCTTACACTTACTTGTCTTCACGTTATTTATTACATTTAATTTCAAAATGCTTTCAAATGGTTTTTTCCTTTTTCTACAATGCGCAAACTTTCTCCCACCACGGAAAATCTTGCCATCTTTGCTGCCGGGGACTATTGTGTAGTTGGACTCTATTGTAAAACTTCACAGGCCAATAGGTTCTGATTTAATATTTTGACTTGTTTTTGAGACACCAACACAAAAATATTTCAATAGAAAGTTGATACGAGAAAAAAGTCCTAATACGAGAAATAGTTGTTTTAATGAGGGTCTATACACGGCTACACTAACTAGGGGCGTTAATGCGGCGTAACTTCAATTGGCCAATCTTAAATTATCTTACACCTCAATAGCGCCCACTGATTATAATAAAATTAAAAAAGCACAAAAAGGAAAATGTTGCATGAATCATTTGTATTATTATACTGTTTATTGGAAATCGTAGGTTAATAGATTCCACAATAAAATTCAAGCTTTTTATACATATTTTTCCTTTTTCTATAACGAAATACTTGTTTTGGTACGAATTAAATGGTGAAGGGGATGCGTTCTTATGAAACACTTTCGATGTAACTTCTACGTAGAAATCTATAAAAATATTGTAACCAACTTAAATTCGCTGTTGTACAGGCGACATGTGTATTAAAGTGTTACATATTTGTTACGCCAGTTTTTTATTTCTTTGTAATTTCATTAAATTCTTATCAGTATTTGTATTATAATTTCCTGCCAACGCTGTGCCACGATACAGATACTAACTAAATAATTGATTCATGCGTTAATAAAACAAAAATGTAATATAATTGTTTAATGTGTAACAATAATTTCACGGATTAGAGTCGTCAATGTCCATTAATATTCTATCTATATACCGAGCTATTTCCAACATTGGGTTTAAGACCTTATTGCGGTTTCTACATCGTTTTGTTGTCGTTTGTTTTTTACAAAACTTTTCTGTCAAATTATCTGGCCATAGACTGCAGTTTGAAGATGATGCCAATTCTTTGGAGGTGTGTAACTTGGGGACGCTGTTCCACGGTTCACTAGAGCGCCGCCTTGCTGCGACCTCCTTATGTCTTTGCAACGAACGCTTACTCAGAGGCTGCCAACCATAGTCTGAATACCGTGTCTTAGCCCATGTTCTCGCTTTTTTCCTTGTCAATGGCTGCGAAATAATTTCATTTTGAAAATTTACAATTAGATGAGCATTCTTTTTCTTGTTTTTGGCTAAGTAAAACTTGTTAGACTACCTTATGGTCACATGTTTTACTGCATTTTCTTGATTGTGCTGATTTTTTCTGTTTAATATTTAAATCAGAACTCTTGTTGGACACATCCGATCCGTTACAATTAGCAAACTTTATTGGTGAGACGTAAGGCTGCAAAATATTACCTACAAATTAATTATAAAACTATCAAATTTTGTAAAGTAGACTTTGTCATGATAGGTAATTTTATCTCATTTTTCTTCCTGCCCCTATTTACAGACACAAAATTACTTTTATTTCATATATCATTTTTCACCCACTCTTGTTTATCTATTTGTGGTGTTTTTAAATGCTATTGTTAAAGGCCTCTGTCCTTTTATATCTAATAATTACAACATAAACTTAGACATATGTATACCTAATCATTATCATCAGCTAGAACATGTCCACTGTTAGACAAAGGCCTCTCCCTTACTCCTCTACGTTGAACAAACAACAGCTCGCCACTTGTATCCAATGGCAATACCCAACGCAGATAAGAGAATACCCTATCTATATTCGGAGCCGCAGAAATATCTTTTACGATTCTCTCGGTCATATGAAAGATGACTAAGAACCTGTTCTTACCTACATCTTACTCTACAACGATAATATTAATAATTACTCACACATGCTATTGACGCCTCTACGCAATACATCGCACGCCAGTACCGCCGTCAAAAATTGAGAGCTATAATCGCAGTAAGTGTTACCTAAAAATTGAACACCATTAAATGAAAGAAATATACGCTGCACTGACTGTTAGTTAATCTTTTCAAACAATCACCATGGTTCAGTTGTACAACTTGATATGCGAACGATACTAGCCGAGACCATATCGCGATCAAATTGTTATTGTATTCTTGACTATTTTTCTTGCTAATCGGTACGTTCGTCGGCTCACTTAGGACGCCGACACTGACTGTTGTCACACTTTCGTCTTCATCAGAGATTTTGTCGACATCTTCAAGTTTTGTAAACTTTTCTAGACATCGTAGGTCTTCCTTAACTGAATCAAATTGCATATTTATATCTTTGGCTATAGAGTTTGTCATGAATTCTATTTCTTTGGGCGATAACAATTCGTCAGGAAACTGTTTCTGATTCTCCACTACGCTGTTGACACTTCCCGCATCACTGCAATTATCATCCTTATGTTCTTCTTCAGTACCTTTGTAGTTGTCCATACAGCACGCACTTGCAGACAAGCATTCTCGGCTGAACGAATCTTCGGACAACTCCGTACCGGTGACTTGGGTCACTTGCTCGTCCTCGTTTAGTGCACAGAAACTATCAAAGAAATCGTCGTTGCTCGCGCTGACTGACGACCTTGTGCTCTCGCTTTTGTCTTTCTTTATTCGGGACTCGCTTTGACATAGTCCAAATTGGTCGTATAGCTTCCGCCTAGCCCGCCGCTCTGACAATTCCTGTCGCAAAATTCTGTCCTGATACGAGCGATCTTTCAGTTTCTGTGCCGCATCCAACTGGCTTCTTTCAAGCGACTTGTATTGCTCGTACAGGTACCAAGACCGGACTCTGTGTGACTTTTTATCGATAGTGTCTAGATCTAAAAAGCATTTTTTTAGTTAGCACTAATAAATACTTGTGTGTTAGGTAAGTTTCACAAAATGACAGAAATCAGAAAAATTATGACACTTACCAAGAGAATCCAAAAACTCCATATCACAAGGCTTGGAATTGGAATGACTTTTGATTGACGCGCTGAATATATTAGGATTTACATAGTTCAAGCTAATTTGTTACTAAATTTTCGTTGTACTAGGATGTATCGTAAATTGGTTTTTCAATGCTTTTCCTGCCAGGCCAGAAGTTACCGAATCTTGTATAATTTTATTTGACATACATTATGAACAATTCCAAATATAATCGACTGCCAGCTACGCAAGGGACACCGAGCTCTTTCGTGGTTTCTTTGCACTCAAAGAAGGAATGAACAAGTAGGTAAAATAGTATTCTATCATGACTAACAGTCACTTTTTATTTCTTACCAAAGAGTTTCCACGTAACTAATTTAAGTCGATGGATAAATGATCAGAACCATGTGAGATCCAAGGAACGGGCGTTGGTCGGAACTTGTCGGAACTGTGATCAGAAAATAGGTAACACGTACCTAATACCTAATCTAGAATTTGTATCCAGGGAATGGCAATTTATTTTTTTAATAGGTACTTCTTGCAAATATATCACAAAGGCGGACTTAAACTGTCAAACACCAAGCGGTCACCGGTGACCGCAACCTATTGTTCTATAATTGTGTCTACAAAACCGGTACTCGACGAGTTAATGCCTTAAGCATTCTCTGCCAGTCTACCTAAAGGCGGTTCCGTACATTATTTGGCCGTACTTATGCAAACAGGAACCAATCTACACTTATACCAAAATCGTGATAGGACACAGAACGTTTCAAAAATAAGTCTTCTATAGACTCTGTAAAGATCAAAATAATATGACAACTTTGACAGAACTATACAATTTTATGATAAAGTTATCAACCAACCAACATAACCGCAGTTATTTAATAAACTAACAAGATCCATAACCCCATGTTTACCCAACAATTCTAAAAAAAAGTTGAAATTGTATTTTGCAATAAGACCCATACCACATGGTTATTTATAATTTATTAATCATAATAAGTAGAATGCGAATAGGTTTTTGTTTGCGTATAAAATAGACATATTCCTGCATTTTTACAAAGACTCACATTAAAAAACCAACCATTGCGTGTGCACAAGATAATAAAAAAATTATTATTAAAAAAACAAAATACCCGACTGCACACTAAAAAAAGAGTAAAACAAGCCCCACAATAATATTGATCAATCAAATGCTAAAAACTAATTATGTAATACCGTTTAAACAATACCTATATTAAAATACACTACAATATGTGTTCGTAATCGATAGTTAAATAAACAGAAACTTATTTTGAATACAAATTTACTGAATATAATTTATAAATGTTGATGGAAAGCATCGCAGGCGGGGACCACCTTGACCGCCACCAACGAAAATTCTGCTAAATGGTGCACAACCGAAATGACTATAAATAAGCCTCTGTTGGTCCCCGCCTGCGATGCATTCCATCAACATTTATAAATTATATTCAGTAAATTTGTATTCAAAATAAGTTTCTGTTTATTTAACTATCGATTACGAACACATATTGTAGTGTATTTTAATATAGGTATTGTTTAAACGGTATTACATAATTAGTTTTTAGCATTTGATTGATCAATATTATTGTGGGGCTTGTTTTACTCTTTTTTTAGTGTGCAGTCGGGTATTTTGTTTTTTTAATAATAATTTTTTTATTTATAACTTTTTAGCTGTTTTTATTTCGATATATACAAATAGGGATATATCGAATAAAATCGCTATTTAGAGACGACCGTCAACGACGTGTGCCCTCATGCGTGTGCCCGCAATCGGGCTGTATACTCGAGCATATCCCCCTCCGCACCGCGCCGCGCGCCGCATGCCAGGCCACGCCCTATCTTTTTGCTTGCTAACGCATGAGTTGCTTTGCGTTGACGCAGAATTAACATGTTCCCGTGGGAATTTTGAGAAAAAACGTATCCTATATTAATTACTCCCGTGATTGAAATGAATCTAATGATACCGCATACATATTTTTTTAAAGGGAAATTTAGAAAAAATATTATTATGTCTTTATCCCGTGGGACTTTTAGGATAAAATGTATCCTATGACACTCCCGTAATCAAGACAAATCTAACGATACCTCATACATCAAAATCCATCAAGCCGTTTAGGCTACAGGTGGTCACAAAGGAAAAGACATACATACATACTTACATACACTCGAAAAACATTACCCTCCTTCTTTGGCAGTCGGGTAAAAA